CCATAAATATTGAATCAGAGACGAAATGATCCAGAGAGCTTTGAACCCGAATGCCTGAAGGCACGAGATTTTATCCCTAAACTAGACTGCAGCGCAGACTACGCCATCGGCGGCGGAGGATCGGTCAGTCCAAACGTGATAGATGAAGCCCTCTCAGGTTCCACAACGCGTTTCATCACGAGAATATAGACTCCATCTTTCAGGAGGTGTGTGGAAACAGATTGCCATTCATAATAACATAAATGACGCCTACTTAGAATCACTATTCTCCCATTCGTCTCAAGGAGATGACTCGCCTTTGAGTCATCAAAGAAAATGTAGCATCAGTTTCAAAGTCCAGAAGTTATTCATTTGATTGCATTTTGTTAAGCCCTGGCCTATTCGGTCGGCGCCTGCTTTACGTAACTAATTCCCTCAAAGCAGCGGTTCGCCAATAGAGAGATTAGGAGGCAAACAGACACCGTCTTTCACAAAAAGTGCAACAAATACTGCTACATCGCATTCATGTAGCCATCATGCCCATTGAAACCATGCCAGTGTTCTGTTTCTCATCAGAGTTCCAGTCTCGCAGTTAAGTCAAGTGTTTTCGAGGTGTCAGTCGTGAGCACCTCCATTTGGATTGACTTAAATATCCCGGTGGTTGAAGTGGGAAAACTTGGAGGTGGAAATCACGATGTAGTAGCGGCAGTGACAGCGCCTGTTCCAGGCTCAACCAGGGATTTCAGCAAGCGACGATGACTCTTCTGCCAACAATACCGTCAAGACAACATTGTTGTAACCACTGAGCCACGCTTCGTAACACGTGGTAACTTGGTTCTTGCACACGTCTTTCATTCTTCTGTAGTCTTCCGAATGCGGTGACTAGTTGCCTGTGCTAATGGGCTTTTGCTGTTGTGTGAAACAATCTGCCCCATTTGTGTCTATTTGAGCACTTTGTTCTCTCGATGCCAGGACTGTGCAAGCAGCTAGAGACTAATTTTCAAACATGTCCTGTTACTTATTTGGATTAGTAGGTTGTCATAACGAACATCGCTTATACCAGTTTGCAAATGTTGTCGAAATCATCATTTTACGTTAGAGCGTGGTAGACTACTTTAGCCTATGGTCCACATGACAACGCAAGACAACACTTATTCTTTGCAGAAAATAGCGAGACTGTGGGCGTAAGCTTGACCACTGTCAATCCTAATGTTTCGAACAGATTTGGATGAGATTCGCAATTGAGATTACTTACTACGTATAAATAAGTAGCACACATGAGCCTGGCCACGAGATGGACAGATACAGACTTTAAAAATTCAATTAAGCAAACAACTCATTTACTTCCAATCTTTGTGGCAGATGGTTTAAGGTTTCCTGGTGATGCCTCAACTCTCCTCTGTATTTCCGCGTCGACTTTCAACATAACATAATAAATCTGTCTAAAAGTAAAAAATTACGGAAGTTTGCACAATTGGAAAAAGTAGAATGACCAACTTGATATGTCTATATCGAGGATAAAATGAAGTAATGGAGACATGATGATGGTACTTCTGTCTTCAAGTCAAACATCGCGACATTTCCGCGAACACCAAGCCTCGTACTAGCGTCTCTGTTACTGTTCAGCCGTGTACATCGTCATTTTCACAAGAGACTTGACTAGTGTGATTACCTGAGCGTTTAAAAGCATTCCTGTAAAGTTGCATGATCGCTTGCGGCTCAAGCTCCTCTGGTAGGCAACAAAAGGAATTATCTTTAGTTATAATAGCCATAATGTGCTTCTCGAGTTTATTTAATCGGATTTTGGTAAATTACACATAAATTATGCTCTGTTCGAATCCTAACGTTAACGCTAATAAATTTATATTTTTAAATAAGACTAAAAGAAAAGTACAAATATGCACCTTGTTAAAAGAAATAAGAAAAAATTTGCATCTCATAAATGAAAGATGTCATCAGTTCGGCTTAACGTATTAATTCAACAAATTTGCTTTGTAGTGTGGTATATCCGAATTCTAAAAGGAAGGAGACTGATACAACAACACAGGCTTTACTGACCAATCACAAGCCAAAACCACACGTCAGGCGCCGTCCATCTTAGTCTACCACGCTGGCTACATCGCACTTTATATACTGCATCTCATTCGTGTCTGCCTCTGGTTGGCTACATATCTTCCTCCCATGCCATTCGAACATAAATAGACAGACGATTGGCTGAGGTCGGCGTGGTCCAATATGTCTGCGCCCTTATGCGTCGCAACTGTAGAATACCCGAGCCCTAATAGGTAAAATACGGGCACAACAGAACAGGCTTTATTGACAAATCAGAAGCCAGAGCCACGCGTCAGGCGCCTTCCATCCGAGTTTACCCGCGCTGGCCACGCCACTCATTATATACTGCACCTCATCCATGTCCTCCTCTGGTTGGCTGCCTTCCTTTCCAGCATGCCATTGGATCGCAGAGAGACACGGTTTTGGCTGAGGCCAGATGGTCCAACATGTCTGCGCCCTAATCCGACGCCACACAACAGTAGATAGCTGAAGACGGCGTAACCGAAAACCTAATCTCGGCTGAACCTCCATTGCAGACGACTCATCATTTACTGCAGATGAAAAACCCTCTCAAGCTCCTACCCCAGCTCATAACCCACGATCTACCCCTGGACTCTCTCAAACCCCAAACCCACACATTTACAATAACGCATCCCCACCCCAACCGCCACTCTTTATTTCAACGACAATTCTTGTCATTGGCGCATATTTATTAAACTCCAACTTCCCATCGTTTCCTTAGAACATAGAGGTGGTTCTGTCCTCATTGCAATGTCCATAGATGTCCGCAAAAGCTGTCAAATTGGATCCCGTTGTACTCCTAAGCGGAAGTCATTGTGGATAATCTGGAACCCCTCTTCGGGTCCAGCTTCCAATCGGGAGAATTCCTGTTCCAGTTCTTTGGCCACGTGCAAGCCCCAGGCGAAACGGTTTAGGAACACTGCACTGAGCTCTCCCGTCTAGCGCGTCTGGCGTACCCCCAGATGGAGCAAACGTACCCCTTCTAGTCCAGCTCGTGACAGGCATCCGGACCCAACCTTGAGCTAACAATTTAAAGACGAAGTCCCTCGTTCCGTGGATGAAATCTTTGCTACTGTCGAAAGTACCAACCCTAAAGCCCACACATACCTATCCCAATAATAACCAGACCTTCCCCGTCCCACACAACTACTCTAGCTTTAATCTGTAGCACTTCCACTCTATCCTAGCTTACCCCCACCCCCGTTTAACCCAGACAACATTTGGCACCCAGCGACCCCCTATTCCATCCCAAAGACCCACACTTATTTATGATCCTAACCCGTCGACGTGCGGGCATTGCAGACTCTTTGGCAGGTCGGCTATTCGCTGCGGACACAATCGAGGGTTACCAAGCCCATTTGTGAGAGGCTCTAGCTGACTTCAACGTCCATTTGGAATTTTGTTTGGGGTAGAAACACAGCAACACGGACACCCTTTCCTACCTTCCAACCATTAAATCGACTCCTAACACCTCAGCCGGTCTAGGTGACGTTAACATCACCACAGTCCACTCCAATACTGCGAATTGGGTGAAAATGCAAGAAGAGGATCCTGACACGACCCTAATTTATGACCGACAACTCCAAGATCAATGCAAACCTTCAGCTAAAGAAATGAGCGGCTAAAGCCTGGGCGCCAACTCACTGTGGTCGTTTTGGAGCAATCTTTTTCTCCGCGATAAGGTCCTTTGTTTTCAATACGACAAAAGCTCCCCCATTCTTCCAATGGCTCTTCAATCAGTGGCACGTGTTAATCACTGGATTTAAGACGCAAAGTTCGTCTCATTTGTTCCTCTTGTTACATTTGTTTTCCACTAAAGGATCCCAATTACCTTTATTCGGCCCCGTTTCAACCAATTACATCGGGCTATGTCAAACAAGGAGTGAGTATCGACATTATGGGCCCAGTACGGTAATCGCGTCTGGGAAACAGGTACATCTTGGTCACAGTCGACTACTTCTCCAAATGGGTGGAAGCAGCACCCCTTCCCAACCAAGAAGCCCACACCATTACCATTACCGGGGTTCGTGGCTCCATTTGCTCCGATCAGAAATCCAACCTTGAGAGTCGGATTTTCAAAGACCTCTGTTACGCAGTGGGCTGTGTGAAAATGTGCGCAGCCCTTTACCATCCCGTGAATAACTGTCAAACGAAAAAGACAAAAATGATCATCCTTACCCCTTCTACGCGCCATCATTTCCACAGCAAACAACAATTTCTGGGATCAGCTGATCCCAAATTGCATGCTTGCTTACAGAAGTACAGTTCACCAGTCTACCGGATTTTTCTCCTGCATTCTTGGTGCTTAACATTAAACACCAAATCGTTTACGACACAGTTTTCACAAGGATATCCGACACCACATGTTCCCAACGAATATGTTACACAAATTGTGGATATTCACCGCATGACATGAAACCTCGCTCAACAACACCTAAACTCCAATCAAGAACACCAAAAACGCTTCTACGTTCATGGAGTTCTCTATCAACTTAAAGATTCAGTCAAGCTTCACTAACCCTACCCTAACCGCGGCAGCTACACGAAACTTGATAATCCCTACCCAGGCACTTTCGGGGTCGTACAGTTAATCGCCAAAAACACCTACCGCATCCCAGCGTATCTAATCCAATCGCCTTTCTTCTCAAAGCACACTTCATTCGCCTCAAACCCAAACTCGGAACAATTTACGACACAAATATAGAAGATCTAATATCGGTGGCAGACATTCCAATATATCACAAAGTAGAAATTCCACACAACATTTTATAATGTAAATAGCGCTGAGGTCAGTGTTCTTCCGAACAGAGGCGCCTTGTCACACGCACCATCTTTTACGTCATCAAATGCTATTCAAGTTTTGTAAATTCTTTCCATATTTTTACCCTTTCACGCCTTCCCAACAGTTTGAATGTGGATCTTAGCGTATCTCTAGAATTTTGTCTCCAAATTTGCCTCCTTCCCCCTCTATTCGTCTTCTAATTTCCCTCCAAATAAACTTTTCTAGAAGTCATTAGCCTTTGTTTCATATTGTACTTAATATGTTTGTTTAGACTGTACCTCACGTGCTGACTAAATTGGGCCTTCTCTTCCATTAGGTCGTTATAAGGGTGCACAAAAACGATTAGCAATTTTTTGTCGGCCTACAGTTATGCCAGGTTCGCACTAATAACCAGCTATTTTTAGTTGTCTAGTCTAAAATGGCTCTCAGTTACATAGCCAAAACGCATAAAAATATCTACAATTTAGTGGAAATTTGTAAGAAGCACATAAGCAAGTCTCTATTTTGATCAACCAAAACACATGCACATACTAAAAAAAGCAAAACGTTTAATTTTAAACGCATTAATTATGCAACATATTACTTCTAAAATGCATTTTAAATATTTCAAATTTACATTGTTTTTCCAAGCTATTGGTGACTTGAGTTATCGCTGGCATTTGCGGCAGCGCGTCGTTTGCGTCGTGTGATTTATTTCAATCATTTTGCAACGATGGCGAAATCGGTAAATTGAGCTGTTTTGTTGTAAAATATTGTAAACGAAACTTTGACCTAATACTGAAACATGTTTTTAAGCGTGGAGATAAGAATCGTGATGCAAAGGCGTCAAAGAAAAACGCAAAGAATGATCTCAACGAGCTAAAACAAGATATTTCAATGGATGATCACCAGATATCCTTGGACGAATTGTATGCACGTCTCGGGACAAATCCAGAAACCGGTCTTACTATTGAGCAAGCAAAGTAAGTAATTGATTGTGCTACAACGTAAAATTTAGAACTCGTCTAGATCGTGATGGTGCAAATGCTCTAACACCGCCAAAGACCACCCCAGAATGGGTGAAGTTTTGCAAAAATATGTTTGGTGGTTTTTCGCTGCTTTTGTGGATTGGCGCTATTCTCTGTTTTATTGCTCATGCAATTCTTGCCGGAGTCCAGGAAAACCCAACTAACGATAACGTAAGCTTCAGTAGTTTTGACGTCGCATTTTTTTGTTTTTAGTTGCAATTTGAATGCACGCCCGAGCTTATTTTCCTATTCTAAGAATTTGTGGTACTTATTTTTTTATTGAAATAGGCATAAGATAGTCGATAACTACCTATTGTGTGCGTACGCATTGTTAAGCATCTGGATTACATATATTCATAACTGCTTACCAAATATTTGGCCTCTTTACTGACGCATTGTTGTTTTCTTCTAATTTTTCTTAATCTGTTTGCAGTTGTATCTTGGTATTGTGTTGGCCGCTGTCGTCATTATCACTGGTTGCTTCTCCTACTACCAGGAGTCCAAGTCCTCGAAAATCATGGAATCCTTCGCCAAGATGGTTCCACATGTATGCTCCCTACTATAGTTGAATTTTTTAGACAGAATTTTTGATCTTAAAGGCTTATTTCTTATCACATATTTCACCATTCTTTTTCCAGGCAACTTGAAGATGAGTGTTCATAATTATCAGATGATGACGTATTTTGTGAAGTCGTTTGATGCTATTGACTAACTAGTTAACTTAACCCTGAGCTATTGTGCTAGCATATATAGATTATTTGTTTCTACAGCTGTTTTTATTATGCAGTATGCGCTAGTGATTCGTGGAGGACAAAAGATTGACGCTCCTGCCGAATCCCTGGTCGTCGGTGACATAATTGAAGTGAAGTTTGGTGATCGCGTTCCGGCTGATATCCGTGTGATCAAAGCGAGTTCCTTCAAGGTAAGCAGCTAGTTTACATTATGGTGCACTGCCAAGTCAGTATGTACTAGATTGGGTTCCAGTTTGCTTTAAAAGTTGATGTGATCAATCATCGATGCTTAGTGGTCTTTCGCGTTAGGAGTCGATTCCCAGCCCTGAACGGCGTTTGGTGATTATAATTGGTCGCAGAGCATTTTGGAGTCTGATAAAGGATCCGGTAGATTATGTAGCTTTTGATTTTAAGTGGTTCGTGCTGAGCTAACACATACACAACTTGATTAAATGTTGGTGGCCGCACGAATGGTGGTCGCCTCACTACAACGTCACTGATGGCGTTGCCGCTGTTGCAGCGATCTTGACCCGAGTTTTATGGATGAAATTTCCCGTATAGGCGTGGGCGTATGTTTGACCTTGTACGATCCTAGAATGCCGTAGGCTAAACGGTGGATGAGCGTAAAATTTTGCCTTATCGATGTTCAACTAGAAACTGTGACTTTGTCTTGATTTGAAGTGTCCTCTTATTGGGGTGCTGTATTCCATTTTACGAGGCGACTACTAGCAAGTATGGCTGTCTGAGTTTGCTCCATAATTTACAATAATATCAAGACTGCGCAATAATCCACAATGATCCTTGCTAAAAAGGTTGAAATTCGTTTGTGGGGCTCTTACGCAACTCTACGCATTCCGTGTGAATTTGTTCTTGTGGCTTAGCGAGTCGTGGAAATTGCGTTTCAGGTTGATAACTCAGCACTGACTGGCGAATCAGAGCCGCAGAGCCGTACTCCCGAGTACACAAACGAGAACCCCTTGGAGACGAAGAACCTGGCATTCTTCTCGACGAACGCCGTGGAAGGCACTTGTCGAGGTGTGGTGGTGGCGACCGGAGACCGCACGGTCATGGGTCGTATCGCCAACCTCGCGTCGGGTCTGGAAACGGGGGCGACTCCGATTGCTCGTGAAATAGCACACTTCATTCACATCATAACGGGAGTGGCAGTGTTCCTGGGTGTCTCGTTTTTCATAATTGCCTTTATTCTGGGCTACCCTTGGCTCGACGCGGTCATTTTCCTGATTGGTATAATCGTGGCGAACGTGCCAGAAGGCTTGCTGGCCACAGTGACTGTCTGTCTCACTCTGACTGCGAAACGGATGGCGAAGAAGAACTGTCTAGTGAAGAATTTGGAGGCTGTGGAGACATTGGGCTCGACGTCAACGATCTGTTCAGACAAGACAGGCACGTTGACACAGAACCGGATGACTGTCGCCCACCTGTGGTTCGATAACAAGATCTTTGAGGCTGACACTTCTGACGATCAATCATGTAAGCCGAATGCGCACCTGAATGTTAAGGAAATTTGCAAAATCGTTTTGATTTGTTGGTTAATCAGTTCGATCGTTCAAATCACCTCATCGATTTGTCTATTCAGCAGTTTCTACCAAGCCCAAATTAGTTTAATCCTTCAAATTTAACCATACGATCTGAAAGCATCTGATTGATTTTCAATTTAGGGATATAGCATCCCTTTATACTTTCGTTCTTTACCACGAATAATGACCTTTACCACAATTCGCAATCGTTTAAGTAAACTTTTTGGGACCAAAATTTTTCAACTTCCCCTAAACGCACACTGCCTACTGATTACCTTCACAAGTCACCATGCAATACGTATTTCCACAGTGCTGAAAGTTAAATGCAAGTCGTTTTAAAGGCGCAACCTACAACCGGGACTCGAGTACGTGGATGGCTCTCTCGCGTGTGGCCATGCTGTGTAACCGCGCCGAATTCAAAGCTGGTGAGGAGTCGAAACCCGTGCTGAAGCGTGAGTGCAACGGTGATGCGTCTGAGTCGGCTCTGCTGAAGTGTGTGGAATTATCGATTGGTGGTGTGACGAAGTACCGTTCTGAAAACCCAAAGGTAGCGGAGATCCCCTTCAACTCAACCAACAAGTACCAGGTTAGTGTTCACGAGACGAACGACGGCGACGACCGATACCTAGTTGTGATGAAGGGTGCCCCAGAACGCATCCTAGATCGTTGTTCGACAATCCTGATTGACGGGCAGGAGTTGCACATGGACGACGAGTGGAGAGAGAACTTCAACAACGCCTACCTGGAACTGGGTGGCATTGGTGAACGTGTGCTTGGCTTCTGCGACCTTCGGTTGCCAGTCGACAAGTTCCCTCGGTGAGTGGATCCTGTGTCGAATGCCACGAAACAGTGGAAGTTGAACTTAAGCATAGACGATTTCAGTAAATAAGTCAATAGTTCCTGCGTGAAAGTGCCCTAATTATAAGTACAGAAGGTTTGTGCCTATTTTTACTCCAACATCACACATTGTTAACGTTCCTCTTAAAAGTACATTTACACGTTGGAACGTTTTCGTTTTGATTGGTTATAGCATGGCGACAGCTTTGGTAGCTCGTTCTCCCACATTCTTTTCAACAAGCTGCCTGAAAGACACCAATGTGTTCAGGATTGGTGCATATGTAGATGTGGGTAGCTTACTCATCCTATCTCTTGTTTTTTTTGCAGCGGTTTCAAGTTTGATGTTGACGAACAAAACTTCCCGATCGATGGCATGCGATTCGTTGGGTTGATGTCCATGATTGATCCTCCTCGAGCTGCAGTACCTGATGCCGTGGCAAAGTGTCGCTCTGCGGGTATTAAGGTGGTCATGGTGACTGGTGATCATCCAATTACTGCAAAGGCCATTGCCAAATCAGTAGGTATAATTTCGGAAGGGAACCGCACTGTCGAAGACATCGCCGCCGAACGTGGTGTTTCCGTTAGTGAGGTGGATCCTCGCGAGGCCAGTGCTTGTGTGATCCACGGCTCAGACCTGCGTAATATGACCCCAACTCAGATCGACGAGGTGCTCGAGAACCACTCGGAGATAGTGTTTGCGCGAACATCACCCCAACAGAAGCTAATTATTGTGGAAGGTTTCCAGCGAATGGGTGCCATTGTAGCTGTTACCGGTGACGGAGTGAACGACTCGCCAGCTCTGAAGAAAGCGGACATTGGTGTGGCAATGGGTATCACGGGAAGTGACGTGAGCAAGCAGGCTGCAGATATGATCCTGTTGGATGACAATTTCGCGTCAATTGTGACGGGTGTGGAGGAGGGTCGCATAATTTTCGATAACTTGAAGAAGTCGATCGCCTACACTTTGACCTCCAACATTCCAGAGATCACGCCTTTCTTGTTGTTCGTCGTGGCTGACATTCCTCTTCCCCTGGGAGTCATCACCATCCTTTGCATTGATCTGGGGACTGACATGGTAAGGCATGACTCTGCGGTATGGTTGATGTGTGAGTAGACGCAGTTTGACTGACTCATCCGTTTCGATTGCTATTGTTACCAGCAGGAATCAAATATCTTCTGGATTGAGCTGTAAGCCTATGGCATTTAAGTTATTAGTTAGTTTGTGGTCAACGTGTTTATCTGACTAAGTAATCATGAACCTTTGCAATTGAAAACCTTCAGGTGCCTGCCATCTCCTTGGCTTACGAGGAAGCAGAAAGCGACATAATGAAGCGTATGCCACGTGATCCTTCCCATGACAAGCTTGTGAACGAGCGTCTAATCTCAATGGCCTACGGTCAGATCGGAATGATCCAGGCCTCTGCTGGTTTCTTTGTCTACTTTGTGATAATGGCGGAGAACGGTTTCTGGCCGAGTCGGCTGTTAGGTCTGCGGAAACAGTGGGACTCGCCTGCCATCAACGATGTCGCTGACTCGTACGGTCAAGAATGGACCTACACACAACGCAAGCGCCTCGAGTACACTTGTCACACCGCATTCTTCGTCTCCATTGTTATAGTCCAGTGGTCGGACTTGCTGATATGCAAAACCCGCAAGAACTCCATTTTCCAACAGGGTGTGCGGAACCACCAGCTGACCTTCGGTCTATTCTTCGAGACCACCCTGGCCCTCTTCCTGTCGTATTGCCCTGGTCTTGAACAGGGTCTGAGGATGATGCCACTTCGGTAGGTGTTTCTTGTTGCTTTGTGATCAACATTTTCTACGTCACTGCTACCGCCACCACCAACACACCACCACCGTCACCACCAGGGGACATGTGGGGACGTTACTTGTTACCAGCGTTTGTGTTTTATTTGGTTTTCTAGATGGACGTGGTGGCTTCCAGCCTTGCCATTTAGCGTGATGATCTTCGTCTTCGACGAGGTGCGAAAGAAGCTTTTGCGTAACCTGCCCCCGGGGAATTGGGTGGAACGGGAAACCTACTACTAGTCGTCGGCTATTCACGAGCACAATCATGCCAAGTGACTGACACGCAACGTCTAGTATTCTCTACCTCTTCTAATACTGCTCTTGTCCTTTCGTATTCACTGATTTGTTCTCACTCAGGAAACCCCTTTTTAAGCGTTTTGACAATCTTCGGCTTTGCCTTTTAAAGGCCAATTTAATTGTACTTAAACATGGCTATTTTTTCTCACAAATACGTTTCACTTCATTGGTGGATTCTTGCAATTTTTGAGGAATCAAGGTGACATTCCGTCGTGTGTTCTTGCACAGCCTCAGGGACCTCAACATTTGTGCTGCTGCGTTGGTTTTTTCTTTTCAAATCAATCAACAAGGACAACCATGTCCACCTCCTGACAAACACCGTCTAGTATTTCCTACTTACTTATTTTTACCACACCTGTACCCAAGTATTTGCTAATTTTTAACGAAATCCGCGAAGTCTCTATGTAAGCTTTGTAGCCGCCTTCGTCGTTCTTCTGGCCCCGGCATAATTGAGCTATGCTCACGAAGAAAAATTCTTAAATAACATTTTTCCTTCAGTGGAGGCATGACATTTACCTTGATTTTTCTCATGATTTGTCTCCTTCCATCTCCACTCCAAACAGTCATTCGAACGTATTCAGTCTGCTTTATCCCAGGTCGTAATTTTGATTTCTTACTCTAACCTTATTTGCGTTTTGTTTTTAACTGCGTAGCAAGTCGTCTTGCCCAATTCACCTCTACTCTTTTTGTTTACTTTGCCTGCTGCTCACACTGATTCACTCTCCCACCTATACCTCACTATTTTACTTAAAACGGACACTCAGGGACTAGTATTATAAACTGTAGTAAATTCTTTCGTATGAGTACTCACCTTCCTTGTTTGTTTACTTGACGTTTGTGGCGGGGGACAAACCGGTGTACCTTAATCGTCCTATTTGAACTGAAGGTCATGGCAGTTTCAGTTAGCTATTGAGTTTACATTGTAGGCTGAGTCTGTGGCCGCTCATCAGTTCACAATGCGTGATCGTGTCTGGCTGCAACCACGGCTTCTTCCACTGGTTAAGTGCCCTGTTCACAGGCGATTTCCAGCTCGACGTTCCGCTGCTCCTACAAAACAGCTTGAAAACGGCTTTCACTGGTCTGATTCGAGGCAGTCTACACAACATGTGTGGCGGCGTTTACAGGGTTGGGCATTGCAATGCGTATGAATTTGGCTTCAAATACCAAATAATCTTCACAACAACTGGGAGCATGACACTGGTGTGGGAAATTTCAAAATCAGTTGGTTCAGTCGAACCCGGCGCAAAGCCCTGAAGGGATTGACGTGGTATTTTGGGATCGAATTAAAATCACACAAAATGTACATCCGCTAATGCGTGTCTGTGCTCATCACCGTGCTCTCATCAGCATGCCGTTGATCACTCAAATTGTGGTCTGCAAATCAATCTCTGATGGAGTGGTAAGTGATCACCGTTCTGTGGGCTGACCCAAGATTGCTCTCACGGAACTGCAAGGGAACATGAACGGAATCAAGCACGGCAAGCAGTTTCCACTTTCGTCCCGTGGTTGAAATCCCTAGTGTCTCAACATTGCGCATGCTATGTGATGCTAGATTCCAGGAGATTGAACAGATAACCCAGTCACTCAATCGTTCATTTTACACCGAACAAATTGGTGGCTGCATTTTATGTGGCTCGCGTGTTCCTATGCTCTGCTCGCCTTTCGTTCCAACAAGCTCCATCACCCAAGGCTGTCGTGCAAATTTTGGGAGCTGCGTCAACAGTCTAGCTTAGTCTACCAAACAGCATGTTTTACGCCATCACAGGGTTAAAGCTACTCCCGATCGATCAGCTCTGATACAGAAATCGAACTGATTGAACTACACTCTAATTGATTTCACCGTAATTAAGTATATTTGATGTTGCACCGGGCATGACAACCTCTGTGTCAAGACATCTATGAGTATCATTTGTTAGACTCCGCATTACTCCTGCCTACAATTAAGGAAGGCGTTTGTAAGGCGTTTAATGCCATAGAAACTGTTGGCGATTTTGTTTATACAAGGTCACTTGATCACCGCCACCACCACTAACCGCTTTGTGTGTAAACAAACCGTTTACTTGTTTACACATCTGGTTTTTGGGTTACCGGTAAGCGCCGATTCCTGTGTGAGGCTTTACACTAAAGTAAACGAACATTGTTTCTGTGTAAAGTAGAATTTTCAGACCGCATTTACAGGTTCACTACCATCTGAAACTGCGGCGTTCCTAAGTGGCACTTATTAGCGACCAGCAATCCTGGCAAGGTCGCAGGCCTTCGTTTGTTCATCACAGGTTTTGATTGATGCAAATTACCCATTCCCCGTCATGCCCCTAAGCTACTTTCTTGAAAGCATGTATTAATATACTTCATTTCCAATACTTGTTGTTATTGGCTAAGTGAATGGTATTTCCAATAGCATGGCAGTGTAGTGTGTAAAACAGGATCACACATGGTAGCAGAATGTACGTGTGTTTCGAAATCAATGATCTATGGAACTGAGTTGACACATGTGTGTTTGACTGTTCGATTAGCCGCCCATCAGCTCATGACTGGTTCGTGGCCAGGCGAGGCAGGTGACTCTGCCGCCAACCCAAGCACAGTTACACACTCTGTCGTGAATCCTGTTTATTCAACCTCCTAATCCGGTCGCTCCACCTCCTACATAGGGTTCCCATGTCGCAGCAACTCCCCCTTCATTAGCACGAATGCTTATCTTGGAGTGTCCCCACACATAGGTATCGATGTTAGCGCATGTATGACTCACACATCCGAGCTATAAATACACACGCGCAAACACCACACTCGACGCAACGACACCAACGTGGTTGACCTCTGAAGTAAACGCTTATGTCCGTTCCCTCTGGCCTTTTCCTTCATCGTGGGTATCAGGCAAGCGTAATCTGGCCAGGGTTAATTCCGTGGCCCCGGCATGGTTCAAGACAACATGGTGGGGCCCATAACAACTCTAAGTTCGCCATGTTAATTGTGTTCAATTTAAAAAACTTATGTACTGTGTTTACACAATGACAGAAACGCATGTTGTGCGGCCTTTGATTGTAATCAAATCTTTACCCTATTCTACTGGCATCCGTTTGAATGTGTTTACAAACACAGAAGTACTGGTTAAGTGCACCAAGAATGTGCCGTCATTAATAGAGGCGGATGTGGGATTTTACGTTAATCGCCATTACGTTAAGGTTGTTAATTTCGAGTAAACAGCATTCAATGTACGCTCCAGATGATACATAAAGCCCACCAATCGGCATGCCGGATTCCAGGTGCCGAGGTATCAAAGGAAAAGTTTGGCTTTGTAAAAGTAGATTTGAACTTAATTTAGCGCATCTATTAAGGTGGAAGTGGAGCAGAGTCCTTACACGTAAGGGATCCAAATTAGTGATGAGAGAAACGGATGATTAAGCACGTTTTTGAAGCCTTCTTCCCGGTTGCCTTGAAAGCGCATGAAGGAGTGCGGCCTTTCAGTTCCCAAGTTGAATATCAGCCGTGCACACATAACCAATTTGGCAGTCTGTGAGGTCAAACTAATGGGGCTTTCGCGCGTAGGTTGGGCGATCGGCCACGTGGGGTCACGGGACTACCTCAGACTTCTTAGCATGTGGTGAATTTAAAAAAACCATCTAATGAACCCACTCTAGCTAATTAGTGTGTACTCCTTATAAGAGAATGGAGAACTTGAGGCAGAAACTGGTAGACGTTGCCCGCATTTCTGGAGGGTAAAAACACCAAATTGACGGAGAAATGCTCCGAACGGCTATCAATCCGAATACCTAGAGGCACGAGATTTGATTCCTGATGTAGACTGTCTTACAGACTGCGCCATCAACGGCGGAGGATCGGTGAATCAAAACATGATAGATGAGGCCCTGCCAGGTTCCACAAATCATTTCGTCAAGAGCAGTTCGCGTCATCTTTTATTAGGCGCTTGACTTAATTCCTACAGATATATTCTTCGAGCTTACAATTTTATTTAAAGTCGAAATACTCTCGCAGTGTTTTGTGATTTTGAACGGATAGCGCGGAAGGCTTCAGAACACCAACTGACAAGTCCACATGAGTTACTTAACCTCCCAACATGCACGAGTATACGGTGACAACTGGTCAGTAGTACATTCAATGGCACTGCATTTTGTGCTAATTAAAGCAAAAAAACCGTGCCTTTAAAGCAGGGAAATCAATTTGTAGTGTTTTTTGGTGCCAACACCGTGTGTCATTAAACGTGTAATTATTGGTACAAACGGTTTTGAAGCGGCGATTTCTAATTCATTGACCAGCTGCGCCTATGACAAAGTTGAAAGTGAAGAATCGCAGGCTCTACTGAATGGGGGCTCAAAGCAAACTCAGCAAGAGCTTGCAGTTCCATTATGAGTCACCCAAGTATCCACACCAAATGAGACGAGTTCAAGCAATTGGAAGTTGGGTATTCTACATGTGTTGATCGAACACAACCTCCTAGATCAATGTTTGAACACACGCATTTCAATGCTTGCTCACAGGCAACAAAAGAAGGACTTCCTGTGGAAATTTGAGACAATAGATGAAAAGTAAACTTTTACGACAAATCCAAACGTACAGAGGTATTACTGGTGGATTCCAGGCAAACCAATACATCCACTTGACGAAAGTATCTGTAGCTGTGTATCTGGTGGAACACGAAGGGTGTTCTTCATCACGAACTCCTGGAAACTGGTCGTCAGACGGTGACTGTGGGACGCTACAACCGACAATTGAGCAAACTGGGCGGAGAGATCAAAGATGAGGAAAGACCATCTGCCGGGCAAGGAATCAGGCAAGTCATACCACAGCTGCATGACAACGCCGACTTCACGTTGCTAGAGCGACTCAGAAGATCCTCTTGAACTTGGGCTGGGAAGATCTCCCATACGTGGCATATTCACCAAACTTGGCCAACCCGACTACTATTTGTTCCGGTCAATGCAGCAGCAGCAGCATCACGCCTTAGTGGATGAACAGTTCAATACTCTAAAACGATGTGCGTTAAATCCTCGTCCATGACATCGCTGCCTCGAATCCTGCAAGTTTCTTTTGCGACGGCATTTTTGCGTTACCTGAGAGATGGCGCAATGTCATGGAACCCGTTGGACAATATTTGCAGACTCAATTATTCATAAATTGTGATGCCTCACGCTATTTGACTAACCATCACTTTTCCTAATTTAATCGATTCTTCCAATATTTTCCCACCTAGTTGACACCGCCTTTCGTGAGTCATCAGCCCAAACTACTTCACTTGTTTCGGATCAAAAAATTATGCTGAGCAAAACGCCATCATAGAAACCATAAATCGATTTCCAGATCAACACATTGTCAGTCTTTTCTTCTTATTGAACCTCTACAAAAGGCAATTCGCACTCGAGGCCCGTGATTAGGTCGTTAGTCTTTGCGTGGACAGGTTCTGATCTTGTGCCCGAGATCGGTAAAGAATTCGACACGTGACTGCTGTCAGCGGCGCTCACATAATATTCAACTTAGCTTAGAAGAGTTTTAAGCAAATGAACGTTCCTAAAAACGATGAAGACATTCACCACTATGATTGGATAATCGGACTCGACTGATGAAGTCAACAGGTGACCTTGATCTCGGTGCCCCACTGGATAACTCGTTTGCCAATTTGCTGCTAAAGGCTGAAACGTGATTTTAAAAAAAAACATTAAGTAGTTTTGTTTTGAGATCTGATACTTCAGTGTGTCCCGAAAAGAATAGTTTTTGTGACAATGGTAGCCCACCTTCTTGTTAATATACACCATTGAACCGCACACTTGTGTCGTTGAAAAAATGGCTACTATTACACTACGACCAGAGGACATCATTGGCAAGTATTTAAGCGTTCGCTGAAGGGAAAATGAAAATTACAAGTGCCAGACAGGTGAATATACAAAAAATGAACCAAGTTTGCTGTGACTTTTTCATCAACCTGGAAATGTACAAATTTAAAGAAAGTGCTGACGGCAGGAATAGGCAAAATCAAAGTCCGCCTAGTTTTAAAATAGCATAATTATGTTTCCTTTAATGTAAAATTACACAATAATTTAAAAACAATTTGAACAGGATGCTGTCAGTTAAAAGGCAAGGAGTAATCCGGATTATGCCACTCCGATAGAATGTTAACCGCACTAATTGCCTGATGTCATCCCACATGTCAGCATTTAACAAATTTAAACGAAAGTGTTAACCATTTTTCTGGCAATTATTCAGAACGCTTATTTATTTTTCATAGAAAGGCGAATAGAAAAATTCCCATAAATTCAAGTACAATTGTCATGCTGGCTTAAAAGGAACGCATTGTTTTGGTGTCAATACATAGTTTCAACGTTCAGCAAAAACATAATTTAAAACCAGCACGCAAAAGAATTTAACTTATAAAATCCAATAAAAGCCTCTGTATTGTTGTTTAAGAATGCTATCCATTAATATATTAGCCTTTTCGCTAAACTGGCACTTTAAATTCGAGTAAGAAATTTGTGACCATATACATGCAATATGATTCCTCTCACAATTGAGATCCTTTCATACAAAGATTAATTCTTCTAAATAATCTAGTCTATGTTATTCGGCATTTCTAAATTCAAATTTTTCAAAACAGAGGCATAAGTTTATTGAATTCCGCCAAATCACACAAACTAATATCCATGATGCGGTGCAATGTCATATCCATTTTGAAATGCCAGTGTTGTTAATGGTAGATGTTCTGCAACAGGGAATGACGTTTGATTAAAACCTAAACTGTTTAAGTTATTTTAAGACACTTATCAGCATTCGAGTCCTTGAGTTCCATTAAAATCCATGAAGTCTCTAACCATTATAATGTAAAGATTTCTAATCTAGTTCTGAATGCCTACATTAGTTACGACGTTCTGTAAGCAGCTTTGTTTGCTAATGCTGCAAAATTTTTTTGTTGAATATCTTTAAGTTGTTTTACTAAGTTATTGTGTCAAGCGAGTAATAACTCGCACTTGCAACAGCGCCTGGTTTGCGTTGTGACTTATTTTGGTCGTTTTGCATCGATGGGGAAATCGGTAAATTGAGAATTGTTAGTTGGAGTATATTTTAACCACTGCCATAAAATTACACTAAACCAAATTTTTTAAGCTTGGAAGCAGGTACCGTGAAAAAAAGAAGTCAAAGAAAGATGCAGAACAAAAACTTCAAGAGCTTAAGAGAGAGCTCGAAATGGATGAGCATCAGATATCCTTGGACGAACTCTATGCACGTCTTGGAACAAATCCTGGGACCGGTCTTACCAGTGAGCAAGCAAAGTAAGTTATTGACTGTGCTACAAGTACAAATCCAGGACCCGTTTAGATCGTGATGGTCCAAATGCACTAACACCGCCAAAGGCCACTCCAGAATGGGTGAAGTTTTGCAAGAATATGTTTGGTGGTTTTTCGCTGCTTTTGTGGATCGGTGCTGTTCTCTGTTTTATTGCTCATGGAATTCATGCAGTAGTCCTGGAAAATCCTAGTAATGATAATGTGAGTTGAATTAGTTGTATTATTTATTTGTTTGTTTTTTTAATCGCAGCTTACTTGCATGACAGATTTTGTCAAATGCACATACTATTGTACTCTACGGTGTGCTTTCAACTAAGTAATATCACACGATAGTCGATAAGTTCTTATTGTATGCATACGTATAGACGACGTACAATTTTTGGAGTTTATTAATCTGTTTGCAGCTGTACCTTGGCATCGTGTTGGCCGCCGTCGTCATTATCACTGGTTGTTTCTCCTACTATCAGGAATCCAAGTCATCAAAAATTATGGAGTCTTTTGCCAAGATGCTCCCACAAGTACGCTCATTACGGAGTTTTGGTATCCACTAAAAATAATGTCAAATTTTTCAAAGCTGACAACTTTCATACTAATATTAACTATCCAGATAATGATGTTGTTCTTGTTGAACTAGTTTCATTAAACGTCCATATTACTTTAACCTGGCTCAGATCTATTTCGCGATTCATGCATTTTATGAACTTTTAATCCATTTGTATATAATGCTGGGGAATATGGTCGGTTTGTATCTGCACTAGTTTCTATTATGTAGTATGCGGTGGTAATTCGTAGAGGACAAAGGACTGATGTTCCTGCGGAAGCTCTGGTCGTCGGTGACATAATTGATGTGAAGTTTGGCGATCGCGTCCCTGCTGATATCCGTGTGATCAAAGCGAGTTCTTTTAAGGTGAGCAGTGAGTTTACATTTTACTGTCAAATCATTACGTACTCAATTGGGTTCTAGTTTGTTTCAAAAGTTGATATGATCATTCACCGGTGCAAGATGGTCTTGTCGATAAAGAGTCTATCAAGAAGGTTGAACGTGGCGTTTGGAGCCTTACTATATTGCTAATAGGTTATGCAGTTGATGTCAACTTGTTCTTTTGAACAGGTTCCTATTTTGGTTGTGTTCTAAGATTTTTTCAGGAATGATAAAAGCCACACAACCAGGCCGATGGTGATTGCCTTGCGACAAGTTTACTTAAAGCGACGTTTTTCTGGCTTAAAGAGTCATGCAAATTGCGTTTCAGGTTGATAACTCTGCACTGACTGGTGAATCAGAGCCGCAGAGCCGTACTCCCGAGTACACAAACGAGAACCCCTTGGAGACGAAGAACCTGGCATTCTTCTCGACGAACGCCGTGGAAGGCACTTGTCGAGGTGTGGTGGTGGCGACCGGAGACCGCACGGTCATGGGTCGTATCGCCAACCTCGCGTCGGGTCTGGAGACAGGTGCGACGCCGATTGCTCGTGAAATATCCCACTTCATTCATATCATAACGGGAGTAGCAGTGTTCCTGGGTGTCTCGTTTTCTATAATTGCCTTCATTCTGGGCTACTACTGGCTCGACGCGGTAATTTTCCTGATTGGTATAATCGTGGCGAATGTGCCAGAAGGCTTGCTGGCAACAGTGACTGTCTGTCTGACTCTGACTGCGAAACGAATGGCAAAGAAGAACTGTCTAGTGAAGAACTTGGAGGCTGTGGAGACATTGGGCTCGAC